TCAGTAATTGATTATGTAATAACTAATACGAAGGCATTACTAGAAGTTAGAAAGTTTCAGATAGGGGAAAGGGTAGAATCGGATCATTTGCCAGCAGAGGTGGATATAGGAAAGGAGCAAAGTGAAGAAATAGCGCAGGATGAAGGCACAATGGAATATATTGAGTGGGATGAGAAAAGCATAGAAGATTATAGGAAGAAATGTGAGGAACATGAATATAGGCAAGGAACAGTGGACGAAGAATGGGAGGATTTACAAAACTGTATCAAAGAAAGTATGATCAGGAAGGAAAGGAGCTGGACGAAGAATAAGATAGGGAATACGAAGTGGTGGGACAAGGAATGCACAAGGTTAAAGAGAAAAGTAAGAAGGACGTTAGGTAAGTGGAAAAAGGGTAAAAGTACAAAAGAGGATTTTATGAAGATAAAGGAGGAGCTGAGAAAATTAAAAATTAAGAAGATAGAGGAGAAAAGAGAAAAGGAACTCGAAGAAATAAGAGAAGCAAAAACAGACAGTCAGATTTGGGAATACATTAATAAACAAAGGAAGAAGAGGAGGGGGATAGGAGCAGAGATTAAGGAAGAAGAATGGTTGGATTATTTCATGAAGCAATTAAGCGGATCAAGAGGGAGAGTATATGGAGAGAGGAGAAAGGTAGAGGAGGTGGAAAGTGAGGAAGAGATTACAGATGAGGAGATTGAGGGGCAAATAGCAAAGTTAAAAAGACGGAAGGCAGCAGGAAGTGATCGAATACCAGCAGAGGCGTGGATTCTAAGTGAAGGGAAGGCAAGAGACAGGATCAAGAAAGTCATTAAAAGGGTATGGAAGGGGGAGGGATTCCCTAAGGAGTGGAGAAGAGGAGTAATTGTACCACTGCATAAAAAAGGGGACTATCAAAAAGTGGAAAATTACAGAGGAATCACGCTGTTGAATACAGCATATAAAATCTATGCGGCAGTACTAAATGAAAGAATTAAGAAAAATTTGGAGGATGAACAGAGTCTGGATGATACGCAGGCAGGATTCAGACGGCATAGAGGTGTAGTGGATAATGTTTATATATTACAGCACGTCGTGGAAAAAGAGCTTAAAAGGAAAGGAGGTAAGATTTTCGCCTTTTTCATTGACCTGAAGTCTGCCTTTGATAAGGTAGATAGAAGGAAGGTATGGCTAGCCATGAGGGAAAGAGGAATAAGAGAAGGACTGATAGAGCGTACAAAAGAAATATACGAAGAGACAAGAAACACGATAAGACTAGAGAATGGGATGACAGAGGAATTCTGGACAGAAGAGGGGGTAAGGCAGGGATGTATTCTAAGTCCTACACTATTTATAACATTTCTGGCAGATTTAGAGGAAGAGTTGAATAAGGCGGGATGGGGAGGTATAAATATAGGGAGTAAGTCAATTTTCTCGCTGTCGTATGCGGACGATATTGTGATAATGGCCAAAAAGAATACAGCATATAAAATCTATGCGGCAGTACTAAATGAAAGAATTAAGAAAAATTTGGAGGATGAACAGAGTCTGGATGATACGCAGGCAGGATTCAGACGGCATAGAGGTGTAGTGGATAATGTTTATATATTACAGCACGTCGTGGAAAAAGAGCTTAAAAAGAAAGGAGGTAAGATTTTCGCCTTTTTCATTGACCTGAAGTCTGCCTTTGATAAGGTAGATAGAAGGAAGGTAT